TTTCTGGATCCCCATGGCTTTCCACCCCCCCCCCCCCCCCCCCCCCCCCCCTGCCTTGCTCTCCCTGGCTCTCAAGGGAAAATCTGGAGGATGCATGGTGTTGGCACTGTTTCTTGTTTTGGGAAATTAACGAACTGTGTAATAAAGATTTCATGAGTACGTTGGGTTCTGAAAACTTTAAGCTTTTATTTTGTTGCTGTGAGTACTAATTTATTTGTAAAATAAAGCTCCTTTAAAGATCAAAACATAAAACCCCTTATCATTAAAATACCAGAAAAACATGTAAAACAAATTTAAAAAACCCTATAATTTCACCACATAAAGGCAAGATTAGTGATAACTATATTCCCTTCTAGTATGTTTTCTGTGTATCTTTAGTTTCACATATAGGTAAAAATACTATTATGGCATGTTTCCTGTTCTTATATAAAAATTCATTTTGTGTGTGTGTGTGTGTGTGTGTGTGTGTGTGTGTGTGTGTGTGTGTATTTGTGTTTATGTCCATATTCCATTAAGTGAGTGTCTCAGTTTCCTGGTTTTTCCTGATTTTATATTTTTCTTTTCCTTTTCTCCTTTCAGATTCCCATGATACCCCCTGCTGTGGAAATGTGCATAGTAGGGTGTTTTTTTCTGTACACAGCACCATTATTTCCGAAGGCTAGATTCACAGCAGCAGGGTTTCAAGGAAGAAGTTATAAACATTTTAAAGTTCTTGACACATGTCAGATTTCTTTCCAGGTGATGATATTTTACAAATCTGACACCATATTTTGGTGACTATTTGACACAAGATTAGAACTAATTTTTTTTTAAATCTCACATTAATGTACCCTGGCATCTTATATGTACTTTGAATAAAGATGGAGCAGGGATTATCATGTTCTAGGTTTTTTATTATATCAAAATTATACGAAAATCTGTAATTTTGTTGTCAAGAACCACCTCACCTGTACTGCCAGCTCTCTTATCGCTATGTAGCCTGAACATCTTACTGACATCGTCTTGCTGTAGTAAGACTATTACATAGATAACATATCATGAATGATATATTTGAAATTTTGTCATTTTATAGAAAGTAACAATTTTGATGGTTGAGATTCTTAAATAGTAGAATGTTTTGAAAATCATTTTAAGCTCAGCTCAGGCAGCTGCAGTAGAATCCCATAGCCTAGGTGGCTTATAAAAACAATATTTATTGCTAGATGTTCTGGAGGCTTAGATACCGGAGACCAAGGGCACACTTGGCTGTGTTCTCACAGGCCGCCCCTACCCCAAGGACGAGTCCTGTTCATAGCATCGGTCCATGCCGCAGTCGGCACCTCCCAGAGGTTCTGCCTTATTCCATCACATTCTGGGGTGTCGGGAGGTGTTAAGATTTCAGTGTGGGAATTTGAGGGGACACGTTAGTCTCTGGCAGGAGACCAGCAGCAGGAATGCCTTTCAGGTCAGGCTTCACATAGAGGAAGCGTCCCTCCAACCACCGCACCTGCCAAGCCGCGAATCAGTGTGCAGTGTAATGATGGCCTTTGCTGTGGAAGCTGCAGTTGCCATGGAGACCGTGACAACAGTGTGTGTCTGAGGTCACATGTCCATATCAGACACTGCAGCATTTGAGCACATCTGTGTCTTTCTAGGAATTCTACAATATGCTCCACAGATAATGCTGTTCAGAATTTGGAGCGTGCATGTCAGAAATGACTTTGACACAGGAAATAAGATCCTGTGGGCAGCTGCTTGGAAGCAACGGCACAGTCATGGCCGACGTTGTTGTTTTGGTTGTTTTAACAACTACCGCACGCTGATTGTAGGGGATGTTTCACGTTTCTACGGTTACTTTCCATCCTCACAGCTGTCCAATGGCATCAGTCAGCATCATTACTCTGCCTCTCAGGGCTGGTGAGGTCGGCGAGGTTAGGTAATTTGTCCACAGCGATGGGGTAGGTAGCTGAGCTGCAATTTATACCCGCATCGGCTTGACTTGAGGATCTTCATAGCTTCCCTCCTGAGGACTAGCTCTGTGGCTACTGGCCTCTGTCCCCTGATCAGTAATTAGCATCCGTGCCTACAGAGCCTTGGCTGTGCCCTTTAAGGGGGACAGTATGTGTCCTCTTCTCGACCTATCCTGCATGCCCTTTGGCTGTGGCTTTCCTGGGAGGTGACCACTGACCTTTACCCTCTGACCCCATATAAGAGCTTGGCAGAGCTGGAGGTTTGCACATACCTGCATTGCTTGCTGAATGTCTTGAAAATTTCAGTTCTGGTCTTCAAGTGATAGGTTTTAGTATTTAGAAAGATGGAAAGGATATTTGCATGTGTTCCCTTTCTCCTGCATCTTACAGCTTCCTTTGCCCCGCCCCCCACAAAAAGAGTAGTTTTGAAGAAAGCTAGTGGACTATGATTTCATCTTTAAAGATTTTACTCTCCATGACTGTAAAAGAAAATTGTTTTCCCGTGCCTTGCCTGAATGAAGGGAAAACCCAGCTTCGATGATATTACTTTTTTTAACCATCCCATCGATGGCTAAGGGAAAGCAGAGTCTTGTGAGAGCACCCTCGAAAACAATATTCCCAGCAGGGGTTTAGCATCAGGAGCAGGATGTCAGAGGCCAGGATGTTCTGGGCCTCTGGGATCATTAAACCTACATCTGGGTTTAGCGTTAAAACGGCCCACACAGTGGAATCACTGATTTTTTTACAATTGAAGTTTACTTCCATAATTTGGGCTAATGAATGAAGTTTTTGTGAATCAACAGTACATAGATTTTTTTTTTTTTTTGAGTGAGGTTATCCTGTCTCCCGGGATCAAATAGTTTGTGGGATCTCTCACCTCACTGATTTATAGCTAAATTAACAAATGAAGGGTAGCAGCAGTGACTCTCATTGTACTACACACTGGCTGGCTGCAAGGTGGAGGGTGGGAAGAGGCTGAGGGCGGAGCCTATAGCACTGCTGGCAAATAGATGGGCAGTGGCCCTGAGCTCAGGGTCATGGGGGAATCTGCTCAGCAGAAGAGCCCCAGGTGGGTCTAAGGAAGAGGGAGGGGGCACGGGACAGAGAAAGTACTTGCAAGAGATGACACTTGAGACCCACGCAGGTGGGAGCAGGAGAGGAAAGTGCAGAGGGTTCCAACAGGAAATAGCCTCACTCATCGGAACATCCCAAACTGCAGGAACTAGGTTTGCCTGAAGGATAGTGATGCCTGCAGCAAGTATGTGTCCTTCCTTCCCTGGAACACCTTCAGTCAGATAAAAGATGATGTTCTTTTTGATCTGGGCTGTTCCCTTAGTGTTTAGGAAGAGTGTCAGTCAACTTCATAAAACTTATGTACTTCTGAGGTACATAAGTACACGGTGGACGTTCGTTAGTCGGCTGACAATACCTGTTACAGGTGAGCCACTTAGGATTCGTGGAAGAGGGCTGTGGCTGTAGCCTATTGAAGTGCAAGTAGTTTCGAAGAGAAATGAAAACTTTAAGCTGCTTAAAATGTGACCAGATTTTTGAGTTTGTCCTTGAGCTGTGTTTGAAACGTATTTAAAATGGCTCCTGTATCGGTGCCACATGTGTCTGAAGAGGGAGAGGTCTCCGCTTCCCGGGCTCCCCTTCCTCCTCTCCCTCTCCCTGGTTACAGCATGCTTCTGCCGCAGGGATCTGGACACTCTGTGGACACTGTGGACATAAAATATTGTGTAGTGCATTTCACGTCATTCACAGACTCAACGCGGGCACCACCTGAGACATGCTCTGACCACGGCAGTCGGGAGGGAAGGGTAGCCAAGGAAGCAGGAATACAGGAATCCCACACGTGCACGCGCAGCCGTACTGAAAGTCGGTCACTCTGGGTGGCTCGCTGGCCGGCCACCTTCTGACTGTGCTTTTCGTACAGTGTACACCTGCATGCCTCCCCTCCACACTCTGTCTTGACGCTGTGCCTCTGTTCCTCCAGGGCAAGAAGAAGAAGAGGAAGAGAGAGAAACTACAGGAATCCACTTCAGGTAGGTACCACGTGGCTTGCTCTTGTTACTTCTGCTTCTGCCAGACTCCTTGTAAATAGTCTGCCTCTTCCTGTGACTGTCACATGTGATCCCTTCTCTCAACTTTCTCTCCTGAAATTCCTTAACATTTCAAAAAGACTTTTCTTTTAAATGTGAAGGTTCCTGTAAAACAAACAAACAAACAAACAAACACATCCTTTCCCGTCCCCGTGCCCCAGAGTCATAGTTAGGAGCTGTGGTTGATATTTTTTTTTTCTCCTTCTGATGTCTGTGTCCTCTTTGCTTCTGCTTCTGCTCTGTTTGCATAGTCCTTAAAGATGTGACTTTTATGATGACAGTACAACATTGCAACCCTGTATTCCCTTGAGAGTCTTTCATGAGTTTTGGGTTCCTAATACTAAACACCACAACGGCGGGGCTTGCACTGATTGCAGGAGTCAGTGAGGTCCCACGTTGGCTCCTTTTTCCTCCTACCATGTGCTGCACAAACAGAAATGGCTGCTATGAGAACCATAGAAAGCAAAGCGAACAGGTCCACGTGATATTGTAGCTACTACTACGTATTTGGAATGTACAGAAACCTCTCCATAAAAATTTGTTAAAGGCACAATTTTCTGCAGGTACAGGTCCCAGAATGACAGCTGCCTACATCTGAAACATGGTAAGATCACCTCTCTGGTCCTATTGCTGATTTAGCTCTAACAAGAGGCTTTTGCTTGTGGATCGTCCCGCTCTTCACCAGTCCCGCTCAGCATTGTTCCTGAGAGAGGAAAACGCCACCAGAATCAGACTAGCACACACACAGCTGTGTGTTTGCGATACAGTGTGCTCTCACCTCCGCTAAACCTTTTATCCTGCTTACTTCTGTATTCTCTTGCCTTTAGGGTTTTCTTCTCAGCTATTTCTTACCAACCAGTGGAAAATCTGCCCTTAAAAAAAAAATCCCTGAGAGAGGAAAACGCCACCAGAATCAGACTAGCACTGTTGAAGTGCCCCTGGTTTTTATCCCAGCTGTGTGTTTGCGATACAGTGTGCTCTCACCTCCGCTAAACCTTTTATCCTGCTTACTTCTGTATTCTCTTGCCTTTAGGGTTTTCTTCTCAGCTATTTCTTACCAACCAGTGGAAAATCTGCCCTTAAAAAAAAAAATAGGAAGCAGCATGTCACCCTCCTCATCCAACAGGGATGGGTCTGAGGAAAGTCACTGTAACCCCTCAGTCCTGTTACATGGTAAAGACTCAGTTGGAACGACATGTGGGCACTCTATTTGTAG